CTGATGCTGCTTGGCCTGCTGTGTTCATCCAGATCTACACCTTGTTATCTTAGATTCTCCAGTATCAGCAGTTCCTACTATCTCTCATACTTAATGAATGAATATTTACTTGGCTTCCCCACACAGAGTTTCCACTAAAAAGAATGGAATAGTTGCATTTATATAATGTCTCTCATGACCTCAGTACATTACAAAGCGCATCACAACCTATGAAGTGCTTTTGAAATGCTGCCTCTGCTACAATGTAGAAAATGGGCAGAAAGCTCTCACAAGTGCTTCAGCCTTATCTTCCCCTTCTTCTTTCAAAGATGGTGACTCATGATACAGTGTTTGAATATTTTAAATAGGACTCATGTACGTATTTCAGGACATATTCCTGAAATTGGTGAAGAGCAGTTTAACCTAGCTTTGCCAATAGGACTAATTATGTCTCCATGCTACTTCTACCTTCACGTTAAGATGGAGTTCACTGCCATTCCTACCTTCTCCCCCTACTCCTCCCTCCCAGTTGGCCTCCTTTCTCCTGAGCTTACTTGTCTTGGTCCCTGAACTGAACAACATTCAAATGGCCCAGAGCAGCAAGGGGCAGTTGACTTGTGAATATGTCTTGCCATAGCTATGATGATAAGACTGAAAGACGCTTCTGGATTTTTCCTTATGGGTTCATCTTGTTTATGTGTTGCATGAGTCACACCTATTTTCATTGACTAATGTATTTACACCAATTAATAGAGTTCTAATGGCCTCATCAATACCTTAGCACAAATCAAGCATCAAAGCTTATTCATTTGCATTGCCCAATTCCACATCAGGCATTGCATTGACTAACTGCACCTTTAAGGGGCCTGTGGTTCACAGTTTTTTTTGTGTTATTTAGGGTGAAGAGCAGAAGCGGCCTGTCACTTCTCAAGTAAAGCGCCAAGCTTCCATGTCAAATGATGCCTCACAGAGAAGTAATTTTCAAAATAAAATTAAACGCCATGGCTCAAGTAAGCATACAGCCTTATTCTCAGTTTCTTCTTTGTCTGTTCCATCTTAAAGTAACTCTCCTCCTAAATGTTGATTTTGGGAAGCAGAAAGGTAGGTTGAATCTGTGAAACAAAATAGTTAAACAATTCAGCCCCAGTAATTGCAATGTATGTCGGCAGAAGCACTCTCAGCTGCTAGTTGATGCATGGATGGCAGTTCAGACAGATAAGGTAAACCATTACAATTGAATAAAAAGGCAAGCAGATTTGGTTTTCTTATTCTGTTCACAAGTTTAGATTTTGTGGGTAGGGAAGGGTTCAGCTATTACTAAATAAAAGGACACTAAAGTTCTACATGAGATTCAGCTGCTAATTCATTAACCTGAAAAAGAAAAACTTGACTGATTTTACTAACTTATTTGGTTTTATAAAATAATCTGTGAAGCTTTTGGTAAAGTGACGTGACACTGTTAAACGGACCAACTGCTGTTTATTTAATCTTTTTTAACCTTTTAAACCTGTGCCATCATGCAATTAAAATTAAATTACAGTTATAGTTCTGAAGTGACAAAGGAATAGTTTTGCATGCAGTTTGTTTCACAGTTCACCACAGCCAGGTTCAAGGCCCAACAGTAAGAATTTGACATTTAGTAGAATATGAAAAATAACTCCTCATATTAACAGACTCCAATTCACTTTATTAAAATATATTGAGTTAATGATTTCATCTTAATAGCCCAGTGTTGATTCTTCCTTATATTATCTGCTTTGGAATATAATCTTTTATACAGTTCAGCAGGTTAAGACTGGGCAGGAGGTGAGATTATATCTTGAGTTGTTGTGTTTGCTCTGTTTATGACGAAAATCAGTGGGAACAGAATTTTTTTTATTTCAGTAACCAGACTTTTCATGTCTGTAAATTATTGATTATTTCCAGATACCTGTCTCTAAATAGACTTTTCAGTCTAATTCCGGATGACTGCCAACTCTAATAGCACGAAATAAAAGTGTGACACGGAGGTAGCAGGGCCTCTGGTCCTAGTATTCCACCACCATTTTGCACCATTTCAGTCAACATACATTGTTTCAATATTGCTTTTGGTTTTGAAATTTGTGGAATTCCTCCTGACCCACCATGGTACTTTTGATTCTGGGTAACTGAACATTTTGCAATTACACTTTCAGACTGCTTCTTCTACCCTAGGGGAATATCAACAAGTGGCAAATCCAGTAGGCTTTGTCACTAAATCTGACATGCATTCAGCAAAATAACCACCTTTGTGTTGTAATTAAAATAGTTTCTGGTGAATGTACTTTAAGAGATATAGGTACATTGTAACTTTTAAATGCAAAGTCTAATTCAATGAAATGCACAGATCTAGTTCATTTAAAAATAATGACAGTATTAGATCCACACTGCACACTGAGTAGATAATTTTTATCTGTTGTAATGAATGTCCAAAGATGAGGTCTCCACAGCAAGTCTAAAATTTCTAAACTCAAAAGAAATGTTAATGTGATTATTCCCTTTAACAAGTATTGAACATATAATCTGTGCTAGTTAGCTGGGGATTTCAATAATAGTAAATATAAGTCACATCAGTCAGAAAGTAATCAAAATCTTTTTACTGCAAGGTTGCAAGCAGAAATATCTGAACCATGATTATGTTTCATCTTAAACACACCAATGATTTATTGCTTAAAGTCCACAGAAATTGAGCTTGACTTCCATCTAAATGTTTTGACCACAAGGCTGTCATAAAACTGCAGCTTTCTGTGTGCTGCTAAGGTATAGGACAAGCCTTCAGCTCACAGTTGAATATCATGACTACAGATACACACAGGAAATGATAAAACTGTGCTTGTGGCAAGATGGTGCTTTATTGATGTTTCAGCTTCTTTGCAGAATGTCATGTATATTCCTTTACGGTTAGGGCAGACAATTTATTACAACAGAATGATATTAATTAACAATAGTTTATTGCAATGGGATTGAGCTGCGATTTGAAGAGCATCCCAGCTCTATAGGACATTGTGGCGTTTTCAATCCTTAACCTTCATCCACCCCGACATACCTTCTGTTCCTCCTCATACCCCCAACCCACTCAAGTACCCCATTCCCTGTTCATGACTCCTCATAACCACCAAGTCTCCTCATGCCCTTTCCATTTCCCCTAATACTCCCTCTGCGCTGTCCATACTCCATTATAACCCCGTCCATCCATTTTGGTGTAATCCAGTGTTTACTGCAGGCAGACTTCAGGATGTCTTAATATCTGCTATCAATTTAAAGATGAAGGCAACTCCCAGGCAGGTATTTCACTTATATTTGAAAATTGGCCAGGCATTCATAATAAGCTTAGCTGTCAAACAAAGCCTGAGAAAGCTAAATAATGGAGCCTATTAAAACTGAAAAACTTAGAGCATTTTTCTTTTAAACAACTCCAGGTTTCCTATCATAAACATATTCCAGGAGCATGTGATTGTTTTTTTTCATTCTCCCTGAATTTGAAATGACTGAGCATTTAAATTATTTCAGATTATTAGACCAGAGATCCCAAGGTGTGTTTCCTTCAGTATTGAATGGATAAGAACAATTCTGTCAATGCTAAATAGTACTCTCGTGCACCTCAGTGCTCACACTATGATGATCAAAGAAATGGCCCAATTCCCTTTGCAAAATCAACTATTGTAGTAAAAACAAACGAATTCATTATTTGTACTTCAGTCTGTTAATCAAAAACAGTCCAACAGCAAGTGACTGTTTTAGCTCCCCAATTGCACTGAGGTTTCCACATAGTTCGCAACTCCTAAGGAATCATAAACCTCACATCCTGAAAGAGGGAACTCAATTTTGTTAAAATTACAGGGGGTGGGGAAGAGAAACATTGAGTTGGAATTTAAACTGTTCACCCTTGCAACAGAAGGAACATTGCCTCTACATATCGCCGGAAATAGAAATGGCTTGAGGACTGAAGTTGAGACACTACCCTCTGTATTAAAGGAAAAAAGATTCATTTATTAATTTAACTATTTGCAGAGTTGATGAATATAGTCTTAACAAGTTTTGACAAATTATTTTCATCGAAATACTCATCCATCCATCATTCCAGTATTTTACAAAAATCCACCCACTTAGGAAATTGAAGCCAAATAACAGTAGTGAGAATGAAATCCAAGCATGACCATTGTGTAGTTATGAAATGAAATGGGGATCAATTTGCAGCTGCAAATCAAATGCTATTTATTGAAAACTAGTTTAATTTACTGCCTGAAGCTTGACACTATCCGTATCTTTCAGATGCAAATCAGTCCAAATATGGGAAGACACGAGCAGAAGAAGATGCAAAGAGATGGCTAACCGATCAAGAGACACTTGAAAATCAGAAAGATTCAATCCGCAGAGAACTGATACAGCTCCGCACAGAGAAGAAAGAGTTCCGTGAAGCCCTGAAAGCACTCAAAGGTATTAGCTTTCACCCCTTACTACCTAAAATGAGTAATTTTGGAACCTAGTAAAGGATTTGAACCACATCCATTGTTACATGGGGACAGAAATCAATCAGTTGTTACATACTGGATAAAAAGTTAAAGATATTAAGCCTTTGGGTAGAGGGTTAACCTTTTCTTCCCGTATTTTTGTTCTCAGAAGTGCCACAGTGAGCTAAAGATTTGGAAGCTAATATTTTTAACCTTAATTTCCATTATATCAAAGTGGAAAGAAATAAGTTAGGTTCACTTCCAATTACAATTTTATTTTGGAAAGAAATAATTTAGGTTCACACGTAATTACAATTTTAATTTGTGATTATTCTCAATTCTTTGCATGCAAGTGGCACCCTGATGCTACAGAAAAAAAAGTATGATAATCTCCCTCAGTAACTCTGTCAATACAATATAATCAATGGAGACTGAGGCATTAGAGACGAAGGCTCAATTCCTGATTCGTGCTAAGTTAAATCATTTCAGGCAATTTCATGCCATGGACTTGACAGTTGATCCCATCCCATCAATTTTGACCCCACCCCATTAATTTATCATTGAATGCATCAACTGGCCTAAGCTGCTGTTTATGCACAGTAGATATGAACTAAACTTGTCACTCAAAGTTAAGATTTGTCTATCCCAGTCTAAATACACTTTGTGTTGTGATATATATTAATATCTGAGCATTAATTATTTCAAATGTGGATTATCATTCTTTCAAGTATAAATTGTTCATTGAGATACATAAAAAATGTAAAGCTCATTACTCAAAATCAGCCAATATTGCCAGTGACCTGGAAAAGAGATATTGCTCAGTATTGACCTTGAAGAAAGAAGCCCAAATAGATTTAGTGGCTTGTGGAACATTGATTTCTCCTACTCCAACATGGCTTTGAAACTGGTACCATCTATAAAGGAATCTGATATGCAGCAAAAAAGAAAGTGAACTCAACAAGCAGGCTAAGCAGCAAAATTGACATTCTTACAGACAGTAAACTGTTTTTAAAAATCAAATAACAATTAACAGTTTAGTCATTGAACAGAGGGCAACTTAACAGTTGTGATGAACATATAGCTTGAAGCTAGAACTGAAATATCAAAAAAAAACCAAATATTTGTTTCAAAACTTGTGTAATTTTCATAGAATCCCTACAGTGAGGAAGCAGGCCATTCAGCCCATACCAACACCTCAAAGAGCATCCCACCCAGACCCAGCAAACTACCATTTTCCCATAAATTCCACATTTCCCATGGCTAATCCACCTAGCCTCCACATCCTTGGACACTACAGGGCAACTTAGCATGGCCAGTCCACCTAACTTGCAGATCTTTGGACTGTGGGAGGAAACCAGAGCACCTGGCAGAAACCGACGCAGACACAGGGAGAATGTCAATGTGGAGTTTACACAGTCGCCCAAGTATGGAATCAAAGCCAGTTCCCTTGTAGTATGAGGTATTAGTGCTAACCACTGAGCCATCATGACACTCCATAGTTATCAAATTAGTTTTCCAGAGCCAGAGAAGTTGTTCAGTGACCATGACTTAGGACACCATCAACACTTCAGTTCAAAAGGTTTTTGCATTTTCTATGTTCTTCTGCACTGCGGATGGTGCATAAAAATTTGTATTTCATTTCAACTTACTGATTCTGTTTCGAGTTCATCTGCAAAGACTGAAACAGTGCATCCTGTAAGCAGCAAGTCATTGACTGTAGTTTCTGGATTTTTGTTTAACTGTGCATGTGAGAACACCACAAGTTGCTGACAGTTTTACACAGGCAGTGTTGAATCATAAGTTTCATAGTCATTGCAACCACATTCTGGGCTATCAAATTCATCCACTTTAAACTTACACTACCTTCAGTCTTAATTTCATAGACCTTCACTCTAACTTGTCGAGTGAATACAGTATTGCTAGCCGTGTTCATCCAGATCAGAGATGTCCCCTTTATTCCTTGCTGCAATGTCATTATCAGGTCACACAGTCAGCAATTCCTCATGCAAAATATTGAAATACCCCAATGCACAATGGCAAATCACTACATTTTCTGCAGCTTCTAATGCCATCTGGTGGCTGACAAAAGTACATTCGCGTTCTTTAAACAAAAAACTGCTTTTTTTTAAGGTATCAAGGTCCCATCCATTAAATCAAAGTCAGAAAAGATCCTGTCTTGGTCAATATTAATCCTTCAACCAACTGAAAACAGTAAACAAAAACACTAAATTAGCATAAACACATAAATAAGCATTAGTCAAACAGTAACAATAAAAATAACATACAACAAAGTTTTTCAGCAAATGGTTCTGAAAGGGTCAATGTTATAGATTGTGTAGAGCCTAATACAATCTGATGATATCATACATATATCATACATTCTTGGGTAGAGAATTGAGGAGTCCAACTCCAGATTCTGATGAGGTGAGATATGTCATCTTTGGCTCCTGATAGTTTTAGAATGTTGTCTGACTAACCAATGTAACTTGCAAATACTACTATTTTGCAATAAACTACATTTTGTTAAAATGAGTGCCTCTTCTTGTTAAGAGGCGGTTCATCCTCTACCACTGTTATCCAAATAATCCCTCCAAATCAGTATAAAAAGGATTGGGTGAGGGCTTTTTTTAAGCACATGGATGGTTTCCCTGCCACTGAGCCAGGAGGCACGGGTTCAGAGGTGTGTCATAACATTTCTGAATAGATTATTGGCTTCACTCAATTCCAACCACAAGCAGCTGGAGGTTGGTTCCAAAAACAGATGACAAGTCTTAAGTGACTTCCTGAGTATATGAACAGCACAATATGAATGCAAGTCTTTCTTAATCTTCAATCTATTTGTGACATCAGATGAGAAAGAACATTAGTTAAGGCAGAACTCCCTCCATGAACTGAGGCAAATCAAAGTACTGTAAAATCACTAGAGCTCAAATGACAATGAATTTGCCTACAAACACATTTTGTCCGATTAAAAAAATTATCTAAAACAAAAATCATACAGAAAAAGTGACACAGTAAATATGTGCAAAATGTCTCTTTTCAATTTGTTCACACGTCACCTTGTACAGTAGAAGTATTTAAAAATGTCTGGAAAAGCTCAGGAATTTTCTTCTGCTCAATGTCGGTCTTCAAATGAGTGCGATGCAGTCTGAGTTTTCAATGCAATCAAATATCTTTTCCATGTTTTCATACAACAGTGCAAAAATCTGGAGCTTCTCATTGGCCTTTAGTTAGGGAGACAAGTGAGCAGGCACACATTCAGACTCTTCAAGAATACCAGACTCCTTAACCATACTTCCAAGGATTCAAAGAGAGATCTCAATGTTAAATGATGGCTTGCTGCTGATTTCACACAGTAATGTTACTTCACTCTGCTCTATTTGGCTCATGTGTTCATATGACAAGCTGGCACAAGTTCTGCTAATCCAGAGTTAGATAGTGTCTTATTGGAGATGGTCATTGCCAGGCATTTGTATGTTATGAATGTTAACTGCCACTTGTCAGCCCAAGCCTGGATATTGTCCAAATCTTCTTGTGTTTGAACATGGACTGCTTCAGTATCTGAGGAGTCACAAATGGTGCTGAACATTGCGCAATCATCAATGAGTATCCTCCATTTCTGGCTTTATAATGGAGGGAAAGTCATTGGTTGGGCCTAGGACAGTACCCTGATGAACTCCTGTAGAGATGTTCTGAGTTGAGATAACAGACCTCCAACAACCACAACCATCTTCCTGTCCAATCAGTGGAGAGTTTGCCCCCCCACCCCCCCACCCCCCTGATACACATTGATTCCAATTTTGCCAGGGCTCCTTAATGCCACACTCAGTCCAATGCAGCCTTGATGTCAAGGGCTGTCACTCTCACCTCTGGAATTTGCACCAAGGCTGTAATGAGGTCAGGAGTGGAATGGCCCTGGAAATACCAAACTGGGTGTCATTGAGCAGGTTATTGCTGAGCAAGTGCTGCTTGATATCACTGTTGATGACACCTTCCATCACTTTACTGAAGATGAAGGGTAGAGTGATGGGGCAGTAATTGGCCATGTTGGATTTATCCTGCTTTTTAATGCACAGGACACACCTGGGCAATTTTCCACATTGTCTGGTAGATGCCAGTGCTGTACGTCTACTGGAAGAGCTTGGCTATTGGAGCAGCAAGTTCTGGAGCACAAGTCTTCTGTACTATAGCTACAATGTTGTTCAGGCCCAAACCCTTTGCAGTCTCCAATGCTTCCAAACATTCGTTGATATCATGTGAGTGAATCAAATTGGCTGAAGACTGGCATCTGTGATGGAACATGCACTTGACACATCTGGCTGAAGATTGCTGCCTTATTTTTTGCACTGATTTGTTAGGGTCTTCCATCATTGAGGATGGGGATATTTGTGGAGTCTCCTTCTCCAGTGAGTTGTTTGTCTACCACCTTTCATGACTGGATATGGCACGAGTGCAGAGCTTAGATCTAGTCTGTTGGTTCGGGAGCACTTAGCTCTATCACTTACTACTTATACAGTTTGGCATGTAAGCATTCCTGTTTGGTAGTTTCACCAAGTTAACACCCTATTTTTAGGTATGTCTGGTGCTACTTCTGCACTCTCCATTGAACCAGGGTTGATCCCCTGGCTTGATGGTAATAATTGAGTAGGAGATATGATGGGCCATGAAGTTGCAGATTGTGCTGGAGTACAATTCTGCTGTTGATATCCCACAGCGCCACATAGATGCCAAGTCTTGAGTTTCTAGGTCTGTTCAAAGTCTGTCTCATTTGGCATGGTGATAGTACCACACAACAAATCTAGAGTACATTCTGCACCCTTGCCAGCCTTAGTGCTTCCTCCAAGTGTCGTTCAACATGGAGGGAGAATGGTAATCAGCAGGAAGTTTCCTTGCCTGTGTTTCACCTGAATGGGGCCTAGAGTCAATGTTGTGGACTCGCAGGGCAACTCCCACACAACTATGTACCACTGTACTGCCACCTCTGCTAGGTTTGACCTGCTGGTTGGACAAGACATGTCCAGGGATGATCACAGTAGTGTCTAACATCCATCGTTCATGCATCTGATGTAATCTGTATGTTAGGGTGAAAATAATGATGTTGAACCTGCTCATAAGTAATGTTATGAAGATTACAAATTAACACCATCATTCTTGGATTCCCCAAACCTTCCCAACTTGACCCATCATAGTCTTACTCATGTAACACAACCCCTTGCTTGTTTGCTGTGTCAATTTCAAGGCAATTTCCTAAGTACAAAATATTTTGTGTTCTAGGTGAAGATGATGCAGTGCTATCACCATCAATGTCACTGGAAAGGAAAAGGGGTAAGAAGATTAAATTTAAAGTATATTTAACAATTATAAGAATCCATACATACTTTGGTTGTCAATTTCTGTGTGTAAGCAGAAATGATCCAGTTAATGATGGGCAAAGTGACTCAATGATATAAACCATTGGAACATAGTTGTATGTTGCCATGAAATTGAAGCATGTTTGCTTGTTCACCCAAGCATCTGGGGAAATGGGAGCTGTGTGCCCCTCACTGCAAGTGGCAAGAAGGGCCAATAATTGGGTAACAAAAACAAAATTGCTGGAAAAATCTCAGCAGATCTGGCAGCATCTGTGGAGAGAAAGCAGCATTAGTGTTTTGGGTCCAGTGACAACTCCTTCAAAATAATTGGGGGAGTTGGCCCTGGAGAGGTACTCGTCCACTTCTCAATCCCTCAGCAATTAAGTGCTGGTTGAGAAGGTCCATCGGGGACGTTCCTGACTCCCTACCATTAAGGCCCTTGAAAGAGGTAAATCAATGGCCTCAACTCAGCATTTCCCTGATTATTTGACTTCCCAACAGGTGGCTGGTTTGCCAACTACATAACTGGGGTCAACCTGCATGCAAGGTTTGAGGAGGTGGGGAAAAAGGAGGCTCCTCTCTGGAGAGGAACAGGGGCAGGATAGGAGGGCAAGTTGGGGGGGGTTTCACAGCTAGCACACACTCCACACACACTCCCCAAAAGGAAAAGACTTACGGATTTGCCATTGAATCACCTGAAGACAAGGTTTCCAGTGACCTTTAGGACCCAGAAGCCTCTGGCCTCTGGCCTCTGATTGGCTGAGGACTCTTCGCAAGACAGGACTTTAACATCGCAAACCATGACTTGCCGACAAGCTCGTTGCTAACTGATTGGAGCCCAATCTGAGAAGCTCGCTTATTGGTAGGGAGGGCTGGAGAGTCCATTACTACCAAACAAGCTCATCCCTATACTCAATCACTGCAAAATTAAATCTCAGTCTTAAGGTGATAAGTGTGGGTAAATACGGTGAAAATGAGAAAAACTCAATTTCGATAGGGAAAAATATTTTCAATTTCTCCTTTGAGGTTTAGATGGCATGTTCATAACCTTGTTCATGAACAGCAACCTTACTTTAATGTACTTGCATCTCATTATTAGCCTAACCAACCTCATTTCTGTGCGGCTTCCAATTCTCCTTTCCTTCCCTGAGAAATAAGATGATGCCAATTTCCAACACAGAGTCAGACTTATGTCTTACTTTGCGCTTAGATGAAAGCTGCCAGTCTCTGTGGCTTGCACCGAATTATAAACACACAGGGAGAGGTAGGCAGCTTGTCAGTGTAGAGCATTGAATGGTTGAGGGGCAAACAGGTTGCTATATGGTACTTTGCTACATTAGTGTCACATCTAGAGCAAGTGCCAGCAGGTTGTTGGAAAACACACCGCAAGTGCTTGAACCAGATGGCCATGCCTGGAAGTCAAAGGGAACCAGTCCTTAGTAGGATTGAGATGAACTGTAGTCAGTCCGTAGCAATCCTACTCCACAGGGATAACCACAGTAAGTCCTGTATTCCAGTGCAAGGAGCCTGTGGATTATAGGTAGTTCAGTCAGGATGCTCTGGAGACATCAATCCGGGTTTGGAGTCAGTTTCTTTTATGGTAAGTGAGGGGTCGGGGGTTTGGTGGTGGTGGTGGGGGTGTAGATGGAAAAGCAGTTAGTGGTGATGCAGGAGAGGTGGTAGGTGTCCCCAGTGAGAGAGTAGAAAGTACAGTGGGAAGGAAGGATAAGTTTACAAGCTAAATGCTGCAGATGCTGAAAATCTGAAATAAAAAGTGCTGGAGAAACTCAGCAGGTCTGTCTGGCTACATCTGTTTAGAGGGAAACTGTAGTCAACATTGACTCCAGTCGGTTTCTTGTTCAGAACCAGTTCTGAAGGGTCATACTGGCCTCGAAATGTTAATACTTACTCTCTATAAAAGGAAAGATTAAAGGAGGTTGAGGCTCTTGAGTGGAGATGTTGCATACAATAATGAGTTGTACTCCGTGAACTTTAGTAAGATGAGTTTTGCAATGACAAAATTAGAGTGAGTGGTGGCCCTGTAGGGTGAAGTAGCAGAGAGAATATCTTTGGAATACAGAAGATTATTTACATTCTTCATGCACTACAGTGCACTTCATTTCACCTGAGACATTGCTGTGATCCAGGGTATCTGGCTGCCTGAGTCTGGTGGTTTGGTCTCCTTTGCCATTCAGCAGGTAAAAGTATTGCCCCCTTTTCCACCGCCCTGTCCACCAGCACCTACAGGTCCATCAGTGAATCTAGCTTGCTTTTCATAGAATCCCTACAGTGTGGAAACAGGCCCTTCGGCCCAACAAGTCCACACTGACCCTCAGAGCATCCCACCCAGACCATCCACCTATAACCTACCTAATTTACACATCCCTGAACACTACGGGCAATTTAGCATGGCCAATCCACCTAACCTGCACATCTTTGGATTGTGGGAGGAAATCGGAACACCCAGAGAAAACCCACGCAGACATGGAGAGAGAGTGTACAAACTCCACACAGACAGTCGCCCGAGGGTGGAATCAAACCTGGGTCCCTGGCGCTGTGAGGCAGCAGTGCTAACCACGGAGCCACTGTACCACCCCTGGATCACTTCCTTGCAGGCAACTGTGCACTTAATTGTAACCTGCTGAAACACGGCAAAAGCCTAGAGCATATCAGCACTGGGGAGGGAGGAGAAGCAGGGAAGTAATGTGTGTACTTCCTTCAAGAAAATAGTTAAAGGCAATGAGAGGACATATAAAAGATCAAATTACTAACCAATGTGTTTTCAAGATTGCCAGCAAATATGCACACATCCTATTTAGGACATTGATCTTTGCCTACATAAATAACACAATGAACACTAATTTGTCAAATAGCTCAATGAATTAATTAATTTGATGGATGACTGAGTTGTACAATGAGGATTTATCACAGATCCGCACTAAGAAAAATATGCATTTGGGAAGAGATCAGTACAATAGCAAACTTATTTTGAATAATCAATATGATTATAATTGGAAGAATAACTTTTGACTTTGATTAGAATTGGCATGAAGTAGCATCTATCTTGGATTCCGTCACTTAATTTGCTAATAATTCATCAGTACCTTCACACGTGAGTAGTAGACTGTTTGGTGAGATAAAGACTGACACCATTGTAATTCTGCTGTAACAAGATGTCAACAGTTTCAAAAGAAATGGTGAGGAATTAAGCAAGAAAAAAATACACAAATGTACCAGAACAATATCAAGGGATGGACACTCATTCTCAATTGATCCAAAGTAATTCATACCTAAAATTTCCAATAAATTGTGACTGGGTTCAATTCAAATCATTTTGGATTAAGCTACACTTTGTACTTGGGATACTTTAGTAATCCTTTAGAAAGGTTTTATTTCAGATGCTAAAAAGAAATGAATCATGCAGATGGTAATTCTGTTCATAATGTTCCCAGGTAAAAAATCTCAAATTGCTCTAGAAGAGAAAATCAGATTATTGGAAGAAAAATGTAAAGATAAAGAGGCTGAACGAGTGGAAGTGGAACTCAAATTAACTCAAGTAAAGGAGAATCTGAGGAAAGCCATTGCAAGGGGAGCAGAAATTAATTCATCCGTTGACTCCAAATCAGACACTTCTGGTCTGCAGGTACTTGAAAAATACTGTTTTGGAAAAGGAAATAAATCACGAAAAATAAAACAACTAACCTCATATGTATTATCTATAAGATATCCCTTACCAATCAGTTGATAGATACTTATTTTCCTTTGAGTTAGGAAGTTGTCTGTTCAAGGGTTATTGTGGTACTTGACCACAGTTTAGGTTTAGATACCAGTACAAGGTTGAAAAATGCAATACTTCCTCAGTCTGTCAGTTTGACTAACCTACCAATCACCTTGTTAGTGGTGTGTAAATTATTATACTATTTGTGAATGACAATGGGCTGTTCTGGTGTTCTGACCAAAATTCGTCTTTCAATCAGCAACAAAAACAAGTGTACTGATCAGCCATCTCATTGTTTTATCTTCGTATGTGCAAAATTTTCCAACGTGTTTACATAATAAAGCAGTCATTTCACTTTTAAGTAATTCATTGTATGTTGAGTGATTTGATGCATTGAGAACTACAATCAAGGTACCAAATAACACTAGTCCTTTTTCTGTTCAAGTAAAAGAAAAGTTCCAGAAAGTTTTCACCTAAACTTGAAAGTGTTTCCCCTAAGAGGGTGGATTTTGTTCACTAAAATTCAATTCAGTGCTAAGTGAAAGTGCCCCATCTCACTGCCCTAGATCATTTAAAAAATCCACAGTACAGATTCAATCCTGAACGTCTCGAGTAAACTTATCTTGTCCAAGGTTGTAGTAAGGATTCTATTGACCTCATAACATCTCAGCTAAAGAAAGGGTTTTTATGGGTGGGTGGGGGTATTAACAAGAACCTATAAACTTCACATTAAACGACTTGTTCCAAAAGATTTTCATCTTAAATGTTGAATGAGGAAAATCTCAGCATGCACCTGAATTTCTACTCTCATAATAGGTGGATCTTTTTGCTGAGAGTACAAAAGCAGAAAATCTCCCTTTTACATTTACAAAACAGTGGATTGTATCAGTGATTCCCTAATAGCTATGCTGTTAAATGCACTGTCTGGTATGTGATTAAGTTAAAAGCTGGAGGAATATCATAGGTATCATCTGAAACTTGCCTTGAGCTGCCTGATTAAAGCAATAGGCCAAAAAAAGGAAAAATAAACCAAATACCCAAGTCTAGTGACAAATCAGTGATTTTGTTTCAAAAAAAGAAGTGTTCTCATTTGAACATTGGGCTAGAACATCGTTTTTTATGGCTGCAGTGCCATCATATACCAACAACACATTGTCAGATCTCTTATCTTGCCATTTATGTGAACTAATACAGGATTATAGCACCATTAGCAAATGTGACTTGTCATTTCCAAATAAGTACAGAAAAAGAAAGTACAAAATCTATGCTGCAGCAAATAAAATGCTACTTTGGTGGAATATTTTGACAAATGGCATTAAGGTTTTCAAGGTGAGAATTGTACTTAAAGCCTAACAATATGAAAGTATTTGGTATCCACATGTAACTGTGTAGTCTAGCAATTCCATTTGACATTTGATAAGCTTTGTCATACACTTTAATTCCTGAAGGAAATGAACAGATATTGAATGTGTTTTTGATTGAAAATAAGAAAAAGCTCTGCCCTTCACTGGTGTGGGTGAGTAATTCAGTTACTAAAATATTGTCTTGTATTCCCCCCAGGGTGAGAATAGTTATACAGAACATCATTTCCTTCCTGTGAACTGTGCTTCAGAAATGAGAAGGAGAGCTCCCACCATGATATCTTCCAGTAAAGGATGTGTCTTACAAAAGGCCAAGGTATCATCATGTTTCAATAGCTTATCCCTAGTAGGAAACAAGATAACATAGGTTCAGCTCCAGTTTGCCACTATCAGTACTCCAATCACATTTTTACTCAAATGACAGCTTCTCTTCACTATATAAATGCTTTCCCCATTAGTTGGAAAATGACTGGAGAAATATGTGCACAAACAGATCCACCCAACTTGCAATGTACAAGTCAACCTTCAGATAGTTGTTGCAGAAAGAAAAAAAATCTAGACTTGTATATTGATTATAGTATATGAACCGCCAGTGTTAGTGTAAGAGAACACATTCCTATTTATCAGTTGCCATGTATCGACATGTCTTAAACACATGGCAATATGACCCAACTTGTCTGCTTAATCCCAGGTGCCAACTTCTAAGGCAAGTATAACCCTAAACATATATCTGAGCCCAACACCTAATGTGAGTACAGCCATAAAGACAAATTTATCAACTGAAAAATGGGGTCGACTAAGTCTAGGCATAAGTCTAGTGCATTTTGGCACCAAAAAAATGGTGCGTGTTTCATGTTGTGAACCATGAAATTGACACAAAATTACACTGACGTGCAATGCTGAAATCTGCTTTAATATCATTTATTACATATGCATTTAGTGAAAAAATAATTTACGGAGGAATGATTTTACAGGATGTGTTTCTGATTTCTAAGAGATAATTCTGATGCTTATCTGGGAATAATTTATGATAGTGTATCCAAATGTCTTGCAAATATGTTCACACAGCACAAAAATGTATTGCTGTCCACCTTACCCCCAGCACTCCCCAGTGGTTCACTTGGCACTGTTCCACACAGGATCTGTCTCAAGTGTTGAAAATCTTCGGATATTCGGCGCTACGTGACTCTGGCAGTAGAGATCATTCTGTGAGATGTTTCATTGTTAGGGATGCCTCTTCAGAGTCAGTCAACAGATAGTGTTGCAGCAGAAAGCAAATTAAATTCACTTTATATATTCACAAGCAGAAGTGATTAAAAGTAGTTACACATTTCACCTGGGCTAATCTATGAAGAAGCTATTTATTTAATTCAGTCCCAAATATGTGCAGACTTTACAGTCAGTTGTGATTCAATGGCACTTACCACTGACTTTAAGCTATCCACAAAAACCTAGCAGTTTTTGTGGGGTGGATTTAATTTGAGTCTGGAAAAAAGATAAAGGCATTCAGAAATAGAAACACCATCAAACAGGGCAAGCAACCATTCACTCACATTGAAGGATTCTCACAGAAAGCAAACCAGGAAAGGCCAGCCTTCACATTTCAAATTTTGACCAAAAAAATTTGGATGGTACACATCAAAAGCTAACATAAAAAGATAGTTTGGTCTATTATATATTAAAATAATAGAAACACAAATGGCACTACACAACTATAAAATTAGTGTTTCATGGCCAAACATTTGATCAAGTCTGCATATGACTTAATATGCCATTAAGAACAGTTACACTTCAAGGTTTAATTTGCTCAGTTTTTTTTTAATGTAGTATCACAACATACAGGAGGAAAGTTGACAATTCAGTAATTTCCAAAGATTTAAGTCCTTAAAGATGACAACAATGTGCCCTGTAGTGGAGCAGAAAATTGACAGTTAATTGGACATTTTGCATTTAACGGTACATGTTGAGATGCAAGAAATGGCTGTCAATTTCAGAAACAAACACACTCATTAAAACTACAAAGTCAGGATTATTGTACAGGCTAAATCAAGTCAAAATAGAACCTTTGAGGGAATGTCAAATCAAGCAGTGTTTCAAAGCTTTAAAAGGACAATGAGTGGTTTCATGATTCACAGAATTTGATTTTCCAAATTATAAGGATTTGTTTTGTGTTTTCAATTATAGGAATGGGAGAAAAAGACAGGAACATGAAATGGATTGAGGAATGCGAATGCAAAGAATTATTTATTAAAATGGTAAAAAGTAATAAATTTGAAGTTTTTTAGGATGTGGCAAATGCAAGATCTTCCTGTTCCTCCAGAAACAGCAAATGGGAGCATGTTCAGAAGATGGAATGCTATAGGATAGATGTCTTATTATATTTCAATACCAAAATTTTACTTCAGATTGTGTGATTCAGAATGTCTCCAGTATTCACAGAATTCATTCCTTTATCTTGTAGTGACTATTCCAATGAAGACTGGAATGAAAATCTAATATACTCAAACATTACTCAAAGACAAATTCCTATTTATAAAATTGTACATTTGCGATAGTAGATGCCTTCAGGAATAATCAACAATTGAACAAATGATTTAGCCTGACAAGAATGGATGATCATGGTCGGACTAGTCTTTAATATGGTTAGGTTCATTGTTATAAAAGATTTTTTAAAAAAAATAACACTGACTCTTTTGTATAAGCTGTGAACTTCCATAACTACGAGCACTGCTCAGTTAATGGAATAAAAAAAAATTTGGAGTGTCTGAAATTCATTTGGGACATCAATGCACAATTCATTCCCAAACATAACTACATCATGGTGGTATTTCACTCTAACCTCCCTTTCCTGCCCAAGGATCTTGATACTGTGATTTATTATGACATTAACATCTGCAACCTTAAATCCCTTTCTTAACAGCAACTGCATCAAAGTTAGTCTTGGGGTTGTTTGTCCCACAATACTACAAAGTAAATTTCTTCTAATATCTGTTTTTTTAAGCATGTAGGTATAATATTATCAAGCTCTGTCAGCCTGGACCAAGCTAATAACACTGCTTTTACCCTATCGTACATAATTTATGATTCTGATATCAGATTTCCTTAAAGACTTCTTCCTTCCAATGAAAAAAGGAATTAGTCACTCAAGTCAGTGTTCATATCTCAATTAGATCAATGGGTTACATAGACCAATCACAGCCTGATCACTAAAGCTACAAGTAATCCCATGAGCACTTTGTCAATACCATGTCACAGAGGTCCTGAATTTAAAAAAAAAGTTTGGTGCTTCGTAAGATTATGAATAATTTGAAGTAATGTGGTGTATCAATACTTGGCACTTGTGGACATGGCGTGGCTATGATTACTGTAAACAAATATATACTGTATTTAAAATAAAACATCACAGGAGAATCAAAGCAAAATAATAATACCAAACCACCTAAAGAGAATAGATTAGATTAGATGATATGATAAAAGACTTGGTCAAAATAGTATATTAAATAGAGAAGTAAAGAGAATTCCAGAGCTTTAGGTCCTGAGCAACTGGAATTGTAAGCACAACTGATGGAACAATGCTCAAGAAACCAGGTTAGATGACTGTAAATCTCAGAATTGTGGAGCTAGAGAAGGTTATAAAAGAGAGACAAGGAGTTGTTGCTACTACCATGATGCTGCCATTTGGCAAAAGGCTAAACTAGATGGGGTTTAATCTAATATCACCAGATAAAAGCCAGAATAAAATCAATTAATTGTGAACCTTAAAAAGTTTAAGTGTGAAAAAAGATTTTTGAAAAAATTGTAGCTATTCCTTCAGTTCTTTGTTTTCTATTTTGAGAAGCTGCAGGATTCAAAAATTGTGTTATTCTTGCAATCTTCAATATTTAACATCATTTCTGAGACTTTAATGCTATTAACATTAAAATATTACTGGTCAAAACAAAATATGCTGAAAAACATTTTTGTTTAAAGTATTTTTTGAACAAATTTCTAATTTTCAATACTTGGATCAGAGCGACAAATGTTTCCTTAAAATGCATTTTTAAAAGCAGTTTGTAAATAAATTGAATCAATTTGCAATGGGTTTATGTTTCAAATGAGAATTACCATGTTTTCCTAACTAACTCTCCACTTACCTTATTTACAGGATATTAGTGGTGTCTGTTCATTCATTTCATTTTATAGTGAATTCTTCTATGTGTACTTGTATACAAGTAGTAACCAATGCTGTCGACAGTTTTTACTGATATTTCTTTCCAGTTGACTGATTTGATATTCAGTCATGTACAATTCGATTGTCAGCAGTGTTCAAACTTGCAACAATTACTGTTTAATTTGTAAGCACTTTAAAGGATATGATTCTCCATATATTTAAAGTACTAATAAACAGTTTTCTTAATTAACAGTCACAGATCAGGTTATTATGTACACTCTCTTCCTCACCCTCAAAAATAAAAGTTTTTGCATAACAATGTTGTAATTGAGTGTACTATGTAATTGCGAAACATTTCCCCTTGAAGTGGGACTGATTAGAGATCAAGTCATGGCACGAATGTGATTTACGTTGAACCCTGTGCTTTTGTTACATTTTTGCTACATATTTGCTTAATTCGGGCTGACTATGTTCTTAGAATTGTTCCTGGTTCACAAACAATAGAAAGCATCAAAATTTAGAAATGTTTGGAAAGGTAAGCTGTGAAAGATTTAAAGTTTTCCTCTAGTTAGTAAATCAGTAAGAAAAGCAGCCATTATCAGTAGGAAAACATAGGAGAAAGTTAAAGTAGATTTCTTCTCCCCACTCATTGTAATCAAACTTAATCCATGTAACTGAGCTCTTAAACACCAGTTGAAACTCCACAATGCCTTCTTTCAAGCAGGCCCACAGTAATACGTGCCAAAATCAGGCATATGAGTGGTCAGTGACAGGCCTTCCCCAAGGGCAAAGACTGTGAGGAGCAGAAATCCTGGTTTTAGTAAACTGCCAGCCTATAGGTTTCTATTTCAGACGATGTCATCAGAAGCAGTGGCAGTTGTCAGCAATACACCCAGAGGCCCAGGATCAGTGGAGGTCCTTACTGTTTAGTGAGGCAGGTTGGGGCTACATGGAGAAGGTCACTGGGGAGGGTAGGGGAGGACAGGTTGGAAGAAATGCAGATGGACTCGGGCCCCTACTGCACTCTTCCTGATGCCTCAAATCATCCTTCAATCAGCCACAGGGTGTCAGCTGAAGAGGAAACCTGATGCCTGTCATTGGGTTTGTTTTTGAGGCATCATACATGGCAAATGTCCCACCCACCACTTGATGAATATCAGTAGCAGCTGGCTGAAGCCCTTAAGTTGGCATTTAGGGGTTCAGTTAGTATCAATGCTGAAAGGCCATCCACAATTCTTTCTGCTCTGGACTGAAACTTGGAGACAAAGGCAGTGATAACCCCATTACTGCACTCTCTCTCTACACAAGCCCCATCTCAAAAACAGACTTCAGGGGAGGCATTAAATTCCATCCACTCTCTGATGTACTTTACTACAAGTGATTTTAGCGAGATAAGTAATAGAACATTTGAGGAATGGGTATTTGGAAAGTACAATTTAAAAGTAATGCGTACAGACAATACAGCAGATAACTTTGGTTGAAAATTGAGCAGTCAAGAGACAAATAAAACAGAAGTTCCAAGAGTCTTTGTTGTCCACACAATGCCAAGCCATCTATTATAAACAACACACACACACACACACACACACGAGCTAAAAATGACCTATTGATTTCAAATCACAGAAAGAACCATATTTTCATTAATGAGCTTTGAAGGTTATTTCAAGAAATCTGTTGAAGTAGGTTATATGTAGCCACAAGAAGCGGGCAGGTAACGAGGCAGGACTACCCCAGCAATGGAAACAGTTAGGAATACCAAGTGCCAACTAGTTACCTGCACCAGTGAAAACTGCAGAAACTGGGAATGAAGGGAGCTGGAAATCTGGTCCCACATACTGATTTTAAAGTCTGTGAATCTTCATCAGACTCCATGACAAAGTTTACATTTCATTGTTTGCTACACTGTAGAAAAGGGCAATGACTGAGCTCTGTGGGGCAGTCTGTAACTAAATGGAATGCATAAAGTAGTGATGGTTTCTCCTTAGGGCTGAAACTTACACCTTTTTAGCTCAGTGTTAATTTCATAAAGGCCTTTCTCACTATCATTCTAAACCTGGCTCATTAGCTACCTATCCCAAACTATGACATCCCTCACATCTGATGCTAACTCCATTTTAACACTCACTGTAGCCAGAAGAACTTTCCATACACTGGATATCCCAAAATACACTAGGATACCTAGCACTGGCACCATCTTCAAAGGGCCATTGTGCACTAGGATAAGCATAGGGCAATCCGGTGCTGCCCTACATGGTTCCTGTATTTGGTTCTGGATATGCCAGAAAGGGGAAGGTGCTCTGAGTACTGTTGGAATGAGGTCAGCCAGGTGAACCTCACAGAATATGAGTTCCCTGATTGGACCAGGTTAACAGCCCAAATCAGAGAGTCCTGGTTGACAGATATAAACAGGAATGGCAGAGGTTCTGCTCAATCTAGGAGCCAGCACTGAGCTACCTGGGTCTGTGTTATGTACTAGGCACATGTAAATGAAAGGTGACTTGGTGATGGGATACCAGTCTTTGTGGAGTTATTTCATCCTGTTTGAAGACCCACACCTAGAGATCATGGTGGAAGAGATGATGCAGAGGAGGAATGTCCTCATCCACTGGCAGAGGAGGCTATGCTTTAAGAGCCTGCCAGCCTGGTAACAGGTTGCCACCTGGATCATTACAATTTCTGCTATCTGGGAGGAATGTCCTACAGTTAAAGGAAGAAGGTTAATGACCTCTGCTCAGCCAATGTAAGCGCCACCATCTTCTCTCTACTATTGCGCAATCACTGCAACAGCACCAATCTTCTATCAAGGCTCATGCTCTACCACTCTCTCTAATACAAACAGCATCTTCATCAAGGACACCCTTGCTGATGCTGCTGCCGCTGCCAACAAAGGACAATGTCACTTCTGCTGACGCTGCTCCGCCACTGCCCCTACAGCCACCAACTCTACAGCCAATGCCAGCCCCAAACCCTGCTGGGTCTTCACCATCCCCCCCAACCACCCCCTCACTGAGGATGAACTGTCCTCAGTAAAGGACTCCCCTTCATCCCCCTCCACCTGAACATCAATGAATACCGCTCACGCCTGGATGTCGAACAGTTTTTTTTTCGCTGCTCTGCCTCTGTGCTTATTTCTTTAACCGTGAACTGAGTCAAACCCTCCCTCTACTGACCTGTTCTCCTGGACACGACCCTAAGGCCTCCTACCCTCCCTCGACCTCTTCCTCTCCAACTGCCGTCGAGACATCAATCACCTCAACCTCTCCACCCCTCTCACCCACTCCAACCTCTCCCCCACAGAACATGCAGCCTTCTGCTCCCTCCACTCCAACCCTAACCTCATTATCAAACACGCGGACAAGGGAGGCACAGTTGTGATATGGCGCACTGACCTTTACATCGCCGAGGCCAAGCGCCAACTCTCTGTCACCTCCTCCCATCGCCCCCTTGATCATGACCCCATCCCTGAGCACCAAAACATCATCTCCCAAACCATCCACAACCTCATCACCTCAGGTGACCTCCCACCCATGGCCTCCAACCTCATCGTTCCCCAACCTCGCACTGCCCGTTTCTATCTCCTTCCCAAAATCCACAAACCCGACTGCCCTGGCCGAACCCATTGTCTCTGCCTGCTCCTGCCCCACTAAACTTATCTCCACCTATCTCGACTCTATGTTCTTCCCCCCTGGTCCAGGAACTCCCCACCTACGTCTGGGACACTACCCACGCCTTCCACCTCCTCCAAGACTTCCAATTCCCTGGACCCCAACACCTCATCTTCACCATGGACGTCCAATCCCTGTACGCTTGCATTCCCCATGCAAATGGCCTAAAAGCCCTCCACTTCTTCCTTTCCCGCAGGCCCGACCAGTCCCCCTCCACCAACAACCTTATCCGCTTAACTGAACTCATCCTTACCCTTAACAACTTCTCCTTCAACTCCTCCCACTTCCTACAGACTAAGGGGATGGCCATGGGTACCCGCATGGGCCCAAGCTATGCCTGCCTCTTCATAGGATATGTGGAACAGTCTCTCTTCCGCAGATACACTGGCCCTAAACCCCACCTCTTCCTCCACTACATCAATGACTGCATCGGTGCCACCTCGTGCTCCCACGAGGAGCTTGAACAGTTCATCAACTTCACCAACACCTTCCACCCCAACCTCAAGTTCACCTGGACCATCTCTGATACCTCTCTATCTCCATCTCTGGTGACCACCTCGAAACTGATTTCTATTTCAAGCCTGCCGACTCCCACAGCTACCTAGACTACACCTCCTCTCACCCATCTTCCTGCAAGAATGCAATCCCCTACTCCCAATTCCTCCACCTCCGCTGCATCTGCTCCCAAGATGAGACGTTCCACTCCTGGACATCCCAGACGTCCTCGTATTTCAAGGACCGCAACACCCCCTCTTCAGTGGTCGAAAACGCCCTCGACCGCATCTCTTGCATTTCCCGCACCTCAGCCCTCACACCACTTCCCCACAATAACAACAAAGACAGAATTCCCCTTGTCCTCACTTATCAACCCATTAACCTCCGGATTCAATGCATCATTTTCCGCCACCTGCAATCTGACCCCACTACGAAGGATATATTTCCCTCCCCACCCCTATCTGCCTTCCGGAGGGACCGCTCTCTCCGCAAATCCCTCATCCGCTCCACACTCCCCACCAGCCCCAGCACCATTCCCTGCAACTGCAGGAGGTGCTACACCTGCCCCTACACCTACCCGCTCACCTCCATGCCAGGCCCCAAAAAAAAACCTTCCACAATAAACAGATGTTCACCTGCACGTCTGCTACAGTGGTCTATTGTATTCACTGTTCCTGATGTGGACTCCTCTACATCGGTGATACCAAGCGCAGACTCAGAGACCACTTTGTAAAGCACCTATGCTCGGTTCATGACAAACGACAACACCTCCCAGTCGTGAACCACTTCAACTCCCCCTCCCACGACGACATGTCCATCCTGGGCCTCCTCCAGTGTCACAACAACACCACCTGGAAACTGGAGGAGCAGCACCTCATATTCCGCCTTGGAAGCCTACAACCCAATGGTCTCAATGTGGGCTTTACTAGCTTCAAAATCTCCCCACCCCCAGCCTCATCCCAAGACCAACTCTCCCTCTTATCCCCGCTTCATTGACCTGTCTGTCTTCTCTCCCACCTATCTGCTCCGCCCACCTCACTGACCAATCCCCACAGCTACCTACCTGCTGTCACCATCCGACCTACCTTCCCC